AGATCCTGTAGAGCTTTCAGGTGGGTCCTGGTGAGGTGTGGGCTTTCTTCAAGGACTCACTCCAGAGCGTGCTGGGTGCAGCACCGACCGCGTGATAGATTGTTGCTTTGCTAGATTAGATTTTGCTGACTTAAGCAAGAAGTCTCCTTTTTTCCTCTCCCTGGTCTCCTTTTTCCCTTTCCCTGTCTTGGAGGCTGTGCTGGTAATCCTTTTGGTGGCTTCTGTTTTGTTTTCAGCTGCTTGCCTTGGTTTTGGGCCGAAGTTGGGCGATTGCCGAGGCGGTTGACCGGGACCTGCAGGGGGACCGGTGGGGAGACCTCAGGAAAAGCTGAAGCAACAAGAGAAAGGACACCAAAATCCAAGAGATTTGTCTGCTATGAGGAGGAGACCAACTCCAGAAATTCAACAGGTTCTGGTTCTGCTGTGGGTGGGGGGCAGGAGAGATAAGGTTCTGAAAGTTCAATATTTAGAATTTATTCTATCTTTTTTTCTGTGCTGTGCAGGCACCTTGTTTTGTCAATAAATGTTTGTTTTGTTAATAAAAAATTTGTAAAGAAAATTTGTATTGTTAATAAACAGATGGGGTTTTCTTTCACTTTCACCCACTATTATTTATTTCTTTCATTTGCAGAAAAAGGGGATTACTGAAGCCACTCTCTTTAGAGAAAACAATCATATCAAAGCGTTTTTCTCCTAAATTTGTCTCTGAACTGAGAAATACACCTTGTGCTCTGGCTATCTTGTATTTGCTTCACCATCTTTGACCTTTCAATATCTCATGGTTATGTCAAAACAGCTTTTGCCCAGTGAACTCTCACAGAAAGGAATTAGCTTGCACAGCCCACTCCAGCATTTCTGAGCCAGGACTGAGGTAGCCTTATTGGCCTCCATGGGATGATAACACATTAAAAAGTCCCTTTTGCCATCTCATTTATTACCCAATATGGCATTGCATGGAAATATTAGAAGATCCAGTATCCACAGAGATAGGCTAATTTTAATGATTAACTGAGGAACTATTAAATTTGACTTCACTGCTCCACTGTCATTATGGAATTAGCATTAACGGCCATGTACTTACTGCAAGATATGTAATGAGACTTGCTGGAAATGACAATGCCAAAGATCTGGATCTCTGTAATTATAAACTCAGTATATATAATTTAGAAAGAAAAAAAAAAAATTTAAAATCTCTCATGAGCTTCAGTTAGTTGCCAAATTGTGCTCGGGTCCCTGGAATGTGAAGCCAAATAATTTTATTTTTCCTCCCTCTTGTCTTCACTCTGAGTCTCTTGCTCTCTCTGGTTGCTTTTAATTAAGCCTGGGTAAAATTAGCAGACAGAAAATCAACACTTTGAAAAATGTCTCATTGCAGGATGATGGCAGGACAGCTTGAAAACTCCAGCAGTTTTTCATTGCAGTGGCTATAAAGAGTGCAGTAATGTCAAGCCTCCTGGAAAACCTATCATGGTTCCCATTGCTTGGGAAAACAGAGGACCAGAAGAGAGTAAATCCAAGACTTGAGGCATTGCCCTTTCCCCCATCTAAGCTGTACATGGGTATATTAAAATTTGCCACTCCTCGCTTTGGTGGCAATTCCCCCCACATGAAACACATCTCCCTTCGGTCTCCACCGGCACCATACTGTGTGTCATTTTTCTTTGTCCTTTGACTTCATCTCTACCTCCTGTTTGGCCCTTTTCAACACTTTTCTGACTGTAGTCTTTGTTCAAAACCTCTCAATCCTCCGGTGAATAGCCTGGTGCTCTTTGAAGATCTAAGCTGCCCCCTCATCGCTTGTTTTAGCTGTATTTACTTTTCTGTCATGACCATCTGATCTACCCACTGGAGCTTCCTATTCTCTGACAGCCATTTATGCCCCATCATCTCCGCCACAATTGCATTTTTCACTTTGTCTTCTCTTCTTGATCTTCCCAATCCTTCTAAAACATTTGTTTTCACATATATTCCAACGTTCTCCTTTTGTTTTCTTCTGCTAATGTCTCATGTCCTTACACCATCTTCAGGGCAATGCTCACCTTTAAGTGATAAATCTTCCTCTCATCCTGAAGACCTCCCTGCCCCTTCAGGCTCTCATATATTCAGTAGATGAACAACTGACTCTCTGGACAGATAAATCAATAGGAAAGTTTTTTTTCATGATGAGTCCTGGTCCTCTTCTGCCAAAACAAAGACTGTGGATGGCAGAGGGTCTGAAATGGCAGCTCTTGCAGTACAAAGAGACATCTTGGCTTTGATATTTTTTTCTCCAATCTTTTTCTCCCCAGGGATGATGGATAAACACAGTCCTCATTCTTACCATCATTTTGGAATACTCATATGGGCTTGATGTGTCACTTTAGGGCCAAAATTGAACTTAATTTCCAGTCCCGCGTGTTCTCTGTTATCTTCCAGACAGGACTTATTTATCACTGACTCTGAAGAGCAGCTCTTGCCCACAAAAGTCTGCTGTATTCACCTGCAAATTTACTTAAATTTTGCTTTTTTTTCTTTAGCCCAATCACAGTGCTAACACCTGCTCTGTATTAGACAAATACAGAAATGGTTTTTATTTTAAACACCCTTCTTCACAAGATAGAGCCAGTGCACTGTTTGGTTAGCTGTAGGGAATGTCGTTGTGATGCTCCCTCTTTCCTGACTTCCCTCTCTTAACATTTACAACAACTATATTTCATACTGGTTTTTAAGATTTATTTTTTTTAAGTGAAAATATAGGAGAGTATTTTTACTCCAAAATTCTCATCAAATACTCCTCTTCCGTGGCTCCTCTTCCTAGAGACATCTCTACTGAATTAGTTGTGTCCATAGCACATCCTAGAAAAGTTGTCCTGAGCTGTCCCAGAGCTTCCAGGAGATGGAACTATGAATGTTTGAAAGCTGAATTGAGAGATGCCCTTCAGTGTCCACACTGGCAAACTGTTGTCAGGAGAGCCGAGGATCTGGCAGCAAATAGCTGTTCTAATTGTGTTATTGTTGACAGCATTACTGTAAACTCTGCATCAAAACAGAGGGAGAAGTGCAGGTGGCAATGCAGTTCAATTGTGGATTTATCTCTGGAGAAAGAAGGGATTAACAGACTTTTCTTAGATGACTCTGACTTGTGCCTCCTCCCAGACAAAGTTAGGACAGTTTTTTTTCAAGACGTACAGCTTTGGGATTTAAAAGAGTAAATTGTCAGTGATATTGTAATGACAACACAAAGCAGCACAAGGACAGAAAAGGCTGCTGGGATTCATGAATTTGGGCTCTCACAGTGGGAATAAAAAGATATATCTGTGAATGAAATAAGATATTCATTATTTTTATGGAGTAATTAAGAAAAAAAAAAAAAAAAGAGCAGGCTAAAGATTCCTTGTGGCCACACAAATCCGTCCTTGTTTAACAGGGTGTTGATTCTATTTTTAAAATTCACCCTGTGGTGCCAGAGTGCCCACCTCTGTATCCTAATTGCAGGTGCTGTCTGTGCTGCTAATGAATGGTGTTTCAAGGTATCCCCTACAAATAAGTGTAAATTGCTGTAAGCCAGCGCCCTTGAATATGTTTCAGTATTTGAAGTCAATTTGTGGAACACTTGTGATCCTGTTGCTGACCTGTCTGTCCTCTGTCCTCTTGTTCCTCCTTTTCTGACTTTTCTCAGTAGCAGCCTATGTCTGCCAGCACAATCAGGGCTTTTCTGTTTTTTATCAGCTGCTGTGAGTCCATGACTAAAACAAACCTTGAAATATTTTGAACAGACAGATGATGATACACCTGGTGAAAGGCTTTGAGTGATTGTTATTACCACTGTGCTTACCTTTCTTCAGCAACAAAGCTACAAGAAAAAGACGGAAGCAGAGGGAAAAACTGCATTTTCTGAAGTCAGTGTTCTAATTTCTCCTTTTTGACATTTGCACATACTGTTTTGTCTTCAAGAATATAGGATGTACCCTTCATAACAAAAGAAACTGAAAGTTGAGCCGTTCAAGTGTTTTGAACATCCAAAGGAGGTGCATGAGGATGGTGAAAAGTCTGGAAGAGAAGCTGTAAGTGGAGCAGCTGAGGCCACTTCTTCAGCCTGGAGGACACTGACAGGAGACATGGTTGCAGTCTACAGCTTTCCCATAAAGGGAAGAGGAGGGGCACTGAACTCTTCTTCCTGGGCACTGATGACAGGACTCAAGGGAATGGCCTGCAGCTGAGTCAGGTGATGTTTGGTTGAAAAATCAGGGAAAGGTTTTTCCCTCCGAGGGTGTTCGAGCACTGAAAGAGGTTCCCCAGGGAACCGTTCACAACAATTCACAACAGCTCACACAACTCTTCACACCAAGTCTGACAGATTTTCAGAAGTTTTGGACAAAACTCTCAGGCCTATGGTGGAGTTTTGGGCTTGTTCCCTGCGCAGAGTCAGGAGATGGACTTGATCACCCTTGTGGGTCCCTTTCAACTTAGGATATTCTATGATTCTCTCTTTCTTTCCTGTCTTCTGGAAGATATTTAGGTCACCCTTCAAGTTAACAGACAGCTAAGTCACAGACCTCTCCTTTTCTTTAAAGGAGAAGAAAGAAAAGAGCATTTTTGATGCCACTGAGTGTCTATAGAAGTCAAAAGGTATCATAAAGAGATCCATGTTGGCTTTCATGGCATTTCTTCATGCCAAAACCAAGTTATCACCCTGTATTTCCTATAGTCGTTTATTCCCTGTGGCAGCAAAAAGCAAGTGGGGAATGACATGGAAACTGTACATGTTCCACTGCACAGCTTCTCCAGGGACACATCTGGATGGTCCTCTTGGTACTGCCTGTGTGCAGCCTGCTTTGCTGCCTAGATTGCAGTAGCAAATACTATTTCCTAGCACAGCTCAGAAGTTGTTGCCCATTGGTTCCTTTACTTCTGCTTTGTGTTTTATCCAAAGTCACAGGTCCAGACAACCAAGTATTTGGAACCCTTCCCTGGCTATTTGCTGTAGATAGTTTATTGTGGAAACAAATCTTGGCAAAATGTTAATTGACCTCCTTTCTTGTATTTATTAACTTTTTATTTCCAGTGGTTTACAGAATGAAGGTGTTTAATGTAACAGATATTGTTACTTTTCTTTGCATTACTCCAGGCAAAGTCAGTGTCACCCCTAAGTTTGTCCATAGCATTTCCTCATAACAACCCTGAGCAGCCTGCCAACTTCCCTGGCACAGTGGGAAGTTTGCAATCTCCCAAGTGGCTGCTGCACTCTGGTAGCAATCAGTAGATACATGGCCATGAAATGAAACTTCAGGAAGGAGATGGAGAAGTGCCTGTAGGTGGGACCTGTTGATGGTGGTGGATTTTGCTGCTGCAGCAAATAAGGGAGATTTTCCTATGAAGCTTCTGCCTATTCTCTGTTCCCTCTCGCTCACTTCTTCTGGTTGCTGGACTCCAAAAATTTCTTTCTCAAAGCAAAGTGAAGCTGCAGCATCAAGAATACTTGTAAAATGATTAACAATAACTTCAAATAACAGGGAACAAGATCAGAACCAATTGTATAGCTGTGTGGCCTTCTTAAGGCAGAAAGAAAAAAATAAAAATATATGGAATAAGGTTAGTTAACTTTGCTACCTAAATGAACATTATATGGACAAATATTCTGTACACATGCACCACTCAGCAGCATGTTTAATTTGTTAAGCACAAATGGATTCAAAAAGTGAGACCCTTTATCTTCATTAAAACTGATGAGAATGAATTGCAAGATGTGGCATTATTATTCTGGCATGATTCTCTTCATGTGGAAACCTCTGAAGCATTAAGGAGCACAAATAGGCTGCAGCATGGCCACATTAGGCTTTGCCATCACCACCTTGACAAATCTGAGCCGGTTTTTTTTCTCCTGCACTGCAGGATGCCTTAAAATAATGGAATCCCAGCAGCAGCAGTAAATAAAAACAGGCAGAAATCTCTCTCATGTAACACAGTATTAGAGGAATATGCCTTCTGTTTTCAAAAAAGATTGCCACATATCCAGTAAACAGATGCCTACACACCTCTTTAGCCTTTGCAAAATATTGCTTCATGTTCCTCATTTTATGGCAAAATAGGTCACTCATTTTGACACTGCTCTTTATAGGCTTACAAGTATCTTAATTAACATTTTCTTCATTAGAAAGAGGTAGAGCTGTGCCACTTTTTGCTTTTAGGTTTTCTGTACTACATACCTTTCTTTTGGGCTCTCTCCCCCCTGTGCTGTCATTGCTCACAGAGCTTTTCAAGGCTTCCTGAAAAGGCCATTATTCGAGCCATCAGTCTAAATTAAGCCAAGAAAGAAATTTAAGAGTGAGCAAAGCTTGCACACAGATTGCTCCAGCCAGCAGGAGCAAAACACCCTTGAGTTTCATAGGCATAACCATAAGCCTCACTTTGAGTGTCAGCACCCCAACAAAGTTCAAAAACTGCTAATGGCGCGGCGACAATGATGTCACGGCTTCGGGAAAAAACATATATGGGACTGTTAATGAATTTGCACTATGTGGACAGAAGAGTAAAATGCTATAGCTGAAGGTAGAGACAGTTTTCAGCAAACCCTTGTTTTCACAGTGGAACCTCTCAGTGTTACCCTACGTGGATGCCAAGGTCCTTAAACACAAGAGCAGTCGAGTGAGGCACCAGGAGGTCACCACTGCCACAACAGCCTTCCCTTGCCATGTATGCAACCACAGCAGTAAATTAATTCTGCCCCTGGGACAGTGCAATGGCCTAGTCATCTGGAGCATCTCAGACGATTTTGACCTAATATCTCAGGACAATCCCCTTACCGTTACTAGTTTGTGATGAAGCTGCTCCCATCTCTGGTTTCCTGGAGATGAGCTAGAGTTCACAAGGAGAGGCCTCAGAAATGGTAAGTCCTAAATGCACGTGTAGAGTAGGTTAGACCTTCTATATTACAGCTCCATTACAGCAAATCCATAGCCTTTCATGGACACAAGCAGAGTGATTGCTATTTAAGAATAAGACTACATCTTCTTGTGGCCAAAAATAGGTCTTCCCCCCAACTCTCAATTAGATCACAATCACAGCATTTCAAATCAACAGCTAATCAATCCCCCTATATACTTTCTAGCCAGGGATGCAACCTGATAATTCATTCATTCATTCATTCATTCATTCATTTATTCATTCATTCATTCATCATCTTTTTTTTTTAAACCTGTTGCCTTAATCCTTGGGGCAGGAGCAGAAGCCTGTTTGGAGTTTTGAAGATGATCCCTACAGACTATTTCCCAGAAGTGGCACTCACCCAGAAACACTGCTCTCAGTTTCCTTTCTGCAGTTCAACAGCTGGTCCCCCTGTTGTGGGTCAGGTTTCTCAGTGCATTTTTTCCCATTTGTCACCTGGAAAGACACTGGGAAGAGGGGATGACGCCTCAGGGATGGATGGCAAGGTTAATTGAGTTAACAAAAGAGTAGCTGATCCAGCAGATCTGGCATACCACCAGAATGGTTTGGGGGATGGGAGGGGAAGTGAGTGGCAGATTTTAGCTGTGTGTGTGCAGTCTGTCCATGCTAGGAGTGGGGACAGTCATCTTGCAGTTTTATTGCACTGGGCCGGAGCTTATCTGACTTTGCCACTTCAGCCCGCGCCAGGAGTGTGTCACACCCCAGGAGCAGGATGACCCAAGGTGCCACTGGAGCACTCGTTCTACGGCTTTTTGGCTGTCAGTCTGCACTCTGAGGAGGCAAGGATGAGAGGGAGGTCTTTTGCATGGGATAACAGAGGATTTACTGCTCTAGGGAGTCTTGGGGGCAAAAGACAGTAAATGCGAGCGTGCAACAGCTGAAATAGGGAGGCGGTTCAAAGGGACGGTACAAAGTATCAGATAATCAGAGATATCCTGGGGAGGGTAAAAGGCAGGGTTCACAAAATCATCAACCAATGAGGGAGGGGGGGGTGGAATTTTGGTTACATGGACTAATCAAGAGTGAAGTTTAGGGGATTTCCAAAGTGGAATTCCAAGCATGCAGTGGGCCTAAGACAGGATTGACAAGAGACTCAGGGTAGATTCACAATGTGGGGTGGAAGGGTCTCATTTGGACCAAACCACCAACTTAGGCAATAACAGAACATACCATTAACAAGAAACACAGTTTTGTCCTGGACTTTCTTGCCTGTGACCGCTGCTTACAAGACAGAGAGAGGTCCCAACCACCCTCCACTGACTGAGGCTGGCCACAGGCAGCACTGAGGGCGACGGGTGCCTCCTGCCTGAGTTTCAGGACAATTGTCACTCCTCCATCTTGTCCCAGGCCGCCAGCGCCCCTCATGAGGGCCCGCCCCACAGCGCCCCCTGCTGGAGGCGAGTGCGGGGCTCCCTGGGGCGGCCAGCGCCCCCTGCCTGCTGCGGTCACAGCTGCACCCACGGGGAAACCCTGCTCCGTCCTTGGGAGGCGTCTGTCACTGTCTGCTCAGTTCTCCTCTTCTGTTATAGGTGTATTTTATAGTAAAGAACCGTTACTCCTTTTCCTACGTTTTTGCTTGGAAGCCACATAATTTTCAAAGTTATAACAATTTGAGGAAGGGGTCTTCTTTCTGTTCCAGGAAGGTTCCCACATTCCTTGGGAGATATTTGTCTTTTAAACCAAGACACCCTCCCATCTGAGATTTTGGTCCAGAGAGGGTAAATTACGAGGCATACGAGGTCTAGCCTTCATCAAAGATTAAACTCAAGACCCTTAACTCAAGTGCCTCTAAGGCTCTGGTTCAGCTTGCTGTTGAGAGGCCAATTGTCCCCAACAAATCCTGGTATCAGATCTTGACTACCTCCTCCACTTATTTATTTTTCCTTCTCCCTCAGTTTTGCTAAATTCCAAATAGTCACCCCTTATCCTTGTGTGTCCTGTTGGAGCACACAAGGTGCACCTCTCTTTAATGTACTGCACCTGGTGACCTCTCTTTAATGTACTGTTGAGGATGGACGAGGGAATCAATCCCAGCATATTAGTTATTAGATTTTTTGAGGAGCCAAAGGCTTTTCCTGGCATTTCAATCACAGAGGGAGACAGCTCTGTTCTTCTTCAGTGGAATCTATAAATATGGGCACACAGAAAACTTCAGAAAGAAGAGGCAGGGAGAAGTGAACAGGCTGGCTCTGACCTTGGGGTGAGTGTTCACTTCTTCACTAGTTTTGCTGGTATTAAATCTGTAAATAGATGTATATATCCAGAGCAAGGTTTCTCTTTTGCGTGTTAGCCTTCTAAAAAAAAAAATCGTAGACAAACCAGATTATCCCTTGGGTGTTTGGCCACATCACAGCTTCTTAGGAAGAGATTTGCATATTAAAATGTCTTCTCTCTGCTGAAAAACTTGTAGTTTCTCCCTTGGCACCTCTGGGTGCAGCCCTTGGGCAGCAAGGAACAGATGAAGGTTTTATGTTGCCATGTCTGCCTGCAGAGGGATAGGGAGTGAATGATGGGACAGGGGGAGCACAGAAACCCCCATCCCCTGAGGTAAAAGAGCAGGCAGGCACACAGCATAATTTAGAGAAATTAATACTTGGCTCACCAAAAGACCTCAAGGCATCACTGAATACTTTCAGGGGGGGAAACCCATGCTGGGGAGTTTTAATTAAACTAAACAGCTGGCAAAAACGGATAGCAAAAAAATGGATTAAAAATGTGCAGTGTCAATGAGTTATTAATATAAACCCTCACCTGAAATCTCACCAGGGATGAAATCCTCCCCTGCTGTTGCAGAATGCTCAGCTCCTCATCCTCCCTATCAGTTGATTTAGGATTAAAAGATCTCACCCTGAAGGATGGGGAAGCAGTGTGCCAAAAGGGATTCCTCTAGTTGGAAGAGGGAGAAATTACACAATTTGGAAGCTGGCTTTCCTCTCATTGCACCAGCTGGCTGATGGCCAGGTCTTCTGGTGCTGCCTTGCCTTGGCTGGGAGCAAGATGCCAGAATCACTCCATTTTGTATTCTGGAGAGTACAGAAATGGATTTTTCTTTAAACTGTCTCCTTTCAGACAGCACAACTCAACTCTGTCCAGATTGTATAATTTTCCCCAGGCTTCTCTGGACAGTGTTGTGATATTTTGCTTGGCACCAGGATTTTGGTGTCCTTTCCCTGCTCACTGTCTGAAGTTGGACCCTCTTGCTCTGCTCTTGTTTGGAACCCCAATCTGAAAAATTTAAGGACTGGCTTTGCTGTTAATTTCATTATTTTTTATGGTCAGCTCTATTTTTTTTATCTGAAAAGCTGCCTCCTTTGCTTAAGTAAGCGTAGGGGAACCTGAAAGTTCTTCAGAATAAAGTCTCATATCATGAGCAGACACATTCAAATGTGAATTCTCTTTATTTCACAACATCTATCATTCAGCAGCAAACTCTGTGCTTTACACTACAGCACACTGAAGCTCCTAAGTGAACCTGAGGATTTCATGATTCCTCATGAGAGGATTTTGTCACATGACTGTTTGAGACAAGCCTAAAAAATCAATGGGTGGATCAATGCAAGTGAATATTTTACCCCTGCAAAAGGCACAAAGCATCATCCACCCCAGCTCACGGTGCCTGACTGCTGGGGAAGGTTATCTAAGATACTGGCAGAAGTATATGGAATGAGGATTTTCAGAGGAGAATCTCTTAATTTCAGGGTTGGTTTGCTGATCTTCATGGTTACAGGGGCATGAGTTCAGACACAGTTGGTTCACAGGCACCCTTTCCAGGGTTGAAAACCAATAGTCAGATGACAAACCACTGGCAGCAGTGTTTCCTGGCCCACAAAAACACTGGCCAAGCATGAACTCACTTCCCCTATTATGCACTGCCATGCCAGCCCTGAAAACCTGAGAGCCCAGAGGATGCAGATCACAACCCTTGGTGCTGGGCATTCCAATGTGCTTGGTGATGGTCCTTGAAGCAGCACATGAACCTCTGATGTGACACACATCAAAAGTCAGTGTGGAGTGAGGTTTCTTCCCCCTCCATGGGGAATTGTGACGATGCACACCAGAAGTCTCTCTGGCAGTGATGGGGCATGTTGGAGCCAAAGGGGCTGTGCCAGGTACCTGCTCCTCAGCCACTCACCACCTCCACAAGGTCTGTGCTTTGCATATTGCCAATCCATGAGAACTTTTAAATAATCTTTGTTTGAGGGAGGGATAATCACTAGCTCTTATTTTGCCCACTGACATCAATGCTACCAAAGAAGCCTAAACACACACCACCTTTTCTGAGGAATTATCACACTATAACACAATACCTTTGGCTCTTATTGATCCACACATTGAGGATTATGCAGAGCTGTTGACAGATAAGACTGAAAATATTAAACAGCCACCTTGAAGTGCTGGTACCATACAAAGCCTTTACTGAATACCAATCTGAACATTCAGACTGCTCCTCGCAGATAACCTAATATTTTTCTATGTTAACACTCCACAATAAAAGGAATCAATTATATCTATCAGTCTGTATAGATTTGGTGCTGAGTTTTTGGAAGCTTAGTCTTGTTCCTTCATTATTAAGCAATCAATAAAACGTTTCAGTAGGAGCATTTTACTATTACATAATGCAAAATCTCATATATGTTTGGCTTCAGCTGATCCTCTGTGTTGTTCTTTTGTGGAGGTTGGATTTATAAATGTTTTTTTTCCCTATGACTATGAATTAATTATATAAAGCAGCCTGACATGGAAATCCAATCTGTTCTTTCACAAACAGACCATTCTGTTTGCTGCTTATAAGGAAAAACAACAACAAAAAAATATTAGCAAAAAAAATAACAAAAGTCAGATGTAAATGTTTCAAATATTCATTTTCCTTAAATTAATTGTGGCTCTTCCCTTTTCAATAAGACACAGAATAATTGCCACAGCTCACTGGGGAGTGAACTAGAATTGAAGTACAGTCCTAGCTGTGCAGGGGGAGATGCAGCAGTGTCATAGATTGGTGGGATAGGAGTGATGGTCCAGCCAGGCTGTGAACACAAGCAGTCCACAAAAAAAGGTGTCAGTAAAATTTTACAGCAGTGTTTGGGGCAGTGGATGCTGCTCCTTGTCCTCCCAGGTTTTTTTTACCTTGATCTCCTTTTTCCTCAGAGAGATCTGTCACTCTCTCTGCATTGTATTATATGTCCCTGAAAAGCTTCTTCAGTTTTAGTCTGCCAAAAAGGGGTGAATAAGACAGTGAATTTAAGCAAAAACCTTCAATAACACATACCAGTTTTGCCAATTGATAGGTACAACAGAAAGGAAACAGACACCAATGGAAAGAATGCTCTTTTTTTACTACTAGCATCAATGCAACACAGACATAAAATGATACATTTAATAAAACAATAAGCTAACTATGCACTCATTTCCAGCAAAATACAAAATAAGCAAGATATCAAATGATTACTATATGAGAAAGAGAATAGTGATCAAGAAAGATAAATCACCAATTGCTCTAATATGTTATCACCACCCAGACCCACAAGCTGCTGGGGAGCCCCTGTTGCAGTGATGATTAGGAGAACTTTCCCAGGAACTGGGAGATCCTAGCACTCTTAAGTTGCTGCAAGAGGGTCCAGCTTTTACAGACCCAAATCATCAAGTCAGAATGACTTGCACATCCTTCTGTGCAGAAATATCTGGTGGTACACTTCCCAGACTCCCCAGACCAAGGCTTGGCCAGAGCCCAGGCCATGGATGGGAGGATTTCTTCAAATATCTCACAGACAAACATTTGGTGATACCAACTGGGGGGGTTTCTTAACATATCACACAGACAATTACACAAGGTCATGCAAAAATCTCTAAAGCATCCGGTCTGGCATTAAAACAGCTAGCATAAGCAGTTTGGTGAGTCTGCAAACAAGGTTTATCTATTCTTAAATAACTAGCATAGGTGGTATTAGTAATATATTGTACAAGATTCATCTGTAAGTCAGCCCTGGCTCAGATCTGCTGTCCAGACCCTGGCACTTCAAAACCCCCATTTTAAAAACTAATCACAACAGAAGTTTCCAGATTCCCTAGAGAACTTGGCATATGTCCCCAGGGTCAGCCTGAGAGGACCTGGGGTTTTTTCTTTTAAACAAAAATATGCTAGAAAACAGTATAGCTTTATCAAGTTTTATGAAGGATGTCTTCAGTTTTTAAAAAATCTTCGTGAGGGAAAGGCATACCTTGGCTTTGGATTAAAAAATCAGCATTCTTCACTAAAAATTGTTTTTGAAAACAAATTATGTTTCTACAGTGTGTTTTCTCACAAATATTTTGTGCACAAGAAAGCTGAGTAGTTCTTTGTGGGTT